GCTTGCCAAACTAGCAAAATGCGGTAATTCAACCAGAGTGTATGTACAGAAACAGAAACTGCCAGGTGCAACAGAGTGTATGTACAGAAACAGAAACTGCGCGCTGGAACCAGGTGCAGCAGAGTGTATGTACAGAAACAGAAACTACGCGCTGCATGAGCAATCTCGAACAGCTGTACGAGATCGAGCTTGCTCAGTCATGGCTTCAGAGCCTGCGCGCCTGCGCGCCTCGTACGCAGCTCGAACAATATTGCCGACAGCAGCGAACTTGTCCTGCTCGGCATGCCAATGATGCCATTGAAATTCACGCACCCGCTCATCAATGTTCCCTTCATCCGCTTTCGTGGACTTCGGAACCCCGATCAACTTCAATTGCCGCCACACATTATCTATGAGTTGGGTGCCTTTTTTCACCCATACCGTGTCCGCTTGGTCTTTGGGCAAACCCTTGACATGTGCTTTCCTGTAATCTCGAGGAAGGCGGTGCTTCCATGTAGCGGCATATATGGGGCTCGGACGCTTGTGTCTCACCGAATCGGTAACCACGCCAGGTATCTGCACGTACCTGTACGCACGTGCTCCGTCGCAGTGTAACAGGATTTTCCGATTCTTGAGATAACGGAACCCTATCTGCTTCCATTCTTTTTTGGATATGGGTCCCGGAGACACAGCAGAGCCCTTGCCCTTGCCCTTCAGCTTGACAGACGTTGACTTCACTCGCATTTTGACAAGGGTGAGGCTCTTACGGTTGCCGCGCTCGAGCAGACCGCAATACTGGAACCAGGTCACTTGTTTGCCTGATTTCTTTCCACGAACTGTGACCTCGTCGACTTCAGCTTGAACCCAAGTTCGAAGATTGCCGAAGAGCCGAGCTTCTTGTTGTCGTTGAACATAAGCCTTTACAGCTCTTCTCCATCTGGCAGACAGAGTTTGCACCGCCCTTGCTCCAAGGCCCGTCAGCACATGAATCTTGCCAGTGTCCACCCTAGTCACATTGCAGAAAAGAACCAGGACCTGTTGACGCAAAGAAATGAATGACTGGCCCCATCCAGTACAGAAGAATGGATGCCGTGCATGTGGAAGCACATACTTGTGACACGACTTCGCTTGACATCTTCTCACGTATCCTCGCTTCTTGTGCTTGAACAAGCCTGACAACTTTCCTGTTCTGCAATGTGGACAGCGTGTGAAGTTCCACAAGATTCCCAGCTTCAAGAGCAATTTGATGAGCCTGTTCTCGGACATCTGCACCAAGTCCGATAGAGAGCAACACCAGTGTTGGGATCGTAGCTCTGCCTTCTTCGCACTATCGAGCTGCTGATCTCGTGGTACGTAGGGAACGTGATCTGGCTTTGCGGAATGCGATTTCTGAGAAGGCTTTCGAAGCACCAGTCGCAACATCCCATGCTTAGGGCTCGGAAACTGCTTCATATCGCTCGTCTCAGAAATGTAGAGCTGCGTCAGAAAGCGATGAAGGGCTACTCTGGAAACGGCTGCGACAGCAGTGCTGGATGAAATCGATTTCGTGTGTTGAGTACCACAGCGACACTGGTGCCGAGCCCGCGCAATTTCGACAAGACTCTTTTGCATCAGTGCACGGTGCGCACACGCCGGAAGCAGACTGTACAATATTCCGGCCAGAGCCTGTCCTAGCACTGCTTTCGATGGACGGTAATAGGACATTCTTGAAGCACAGGGGCTATCGGCCTGCAATACGACAGCTCCTGCTCGCTCGTTGCCAAGAAGCCGTGAGCTGATGTGATTTTATAAAACTCCAACTGTACATCAAACATAAAAGCGAAACTAGACAAAGCGCATGGCAAAGACTCATTCTGCACGACAGTCAAGCTAGCGCTTACATCACAAGCAAGCTGTACACCGTAGAATGTTGTAGAGTCAGAGAGTTTGTCACTCTGCAATATGACAGCCTCTGCTGGCTCTGCACGACTCAGAAATCATGACTGATTGGCTGGCTTGCTCTTGACCCTCACACGTTTACTGGTCGAGTTGGCGAGGGCAGATTTCAAAGCGGCACTAGATATGTTCGCGTATTGCATCAGGGCTGCCTCATATTCTGGCGATGAAGCTGAAGAGGGGCAAGTGAAGTTGTAGCTATCTGTGGCCGCATCGAAACTACCCAGAACTGACGGAGCAGCTTTGACAATAGCGCGAAAGTCCCCAAGAGAAGGCTGTTGCGTGAGCTGGTCCTTCGACCTCTGAAGGTTGTACACGCTTCGTGACTTGATGACACAGGTTTCTGCCCCCTCTGATGAAGCTTCCGCCTTGAGGAGCAACCGACGATAGAATTCGGTGTCAGGCAGTCCGGTGTGTTGTGCTTTCGGTTGCCAGTCTTGATCTTTGTTCGAACTCTGTCCCGTCAGAGCAAGAGCAAGCTGATCTTCGTCAGCCATGGGCCTTTTCCGCTTTCTCTCCGCTGAGTCGGCTTCGTTGAACGTTGAGAAGGCAGACGACTCTTCCTTACCAGCCATGATAGCCACTACGCTCTCTAGAATCTCCAGCAGTCCAAACGCCCGTGCAACCACATCCGCATCGATCAGGACCGGCGCCTCCGGATTAACCGGCGGCGCCGACTGCTGCCAGGCAAGATCCCAGAGTGCCAAAGCCTCACTGGCCTAAACCTAAGGAAATCAAAGTCGAAACTTTCAGAATCGACTACCTTACAAGAGCACCAAAGATTGAAAAGTTTGGTTTGCAGCTAATAAGAAGCCGAAGCAAGCATGGCAAGTTTCCACGGACACGCGCCCATCTGGGCACCCTGACCCACGTCACCATCTTCTCGAGCTTGAGCCACCATAATATTAAAATAGCACGAGTAGCTCTTGAAAAGTTGCTTGCCGCTCTCTGAGAACTCTAGGACGCGGTGCTCCTGCTCAAAGATCTCAGTGAGACGCTGCGCTGCCGGGCGTAGTTCAAGCTCTGGAGGAACGTCTACATCTCTGTCTGCCATGGACCACTCTGGCTGAGGACCGTCTGGAGGCTGGCGAAAGCGAAGTTTAGTGACAACGCCGTCTGGCAAGGTGTAAGGCCAACCCACTGCATCGGGAAAGAAACCTGCGTCCGTGAACTCAGCAACACCGTCGATGAGGTCGTCCTCGTGCTTTAGTTCCACTGCTGCCTTCTCAGGACTCTCCAAGCAGTTCAGTCGCAACAAATCAAGCAACACACTGGGGAGTGCGCAGTACTCTACTTTGGCATCCAAGCCGACAGATTCGTACTCCTCATGCGGCTGGATGGGCTGCCCACTGGCAAACAGGAAGCGAGCTTTTGTTTGGCATCCGTGGTCGCCACGGAGCCCGCGAATCATCTCCACCGCGACGCCGGGATGAAAATTGCCGGCTAGGGCTGTGTTGACGCTTGGAGAGTGCAAGCCGCCGAACGATCCACAGCTCTTCGTTTCGAACGTGCTCACGCCCGTTTGCAGTAGCCTGTTTGCCCACCCAGCATTGGGGGTTTGACCAGAAACATCAACGCCTCCAGACATCTGTTTCTTTGCAGCGGAACTTGGACTGTCCAAGATGCCGAGTTCCATTAGAAACTCATACGCTTCGTCAAAGAGCAACAGCGTAGAAAACCAGGTACGCCCTCGCAAGCCCTCCCCACTTGCAACGGCGGCTTCGGCTGCAGAAGCAGTAGCAGACGCATCAATGCCTGGCAAATCCTTGAAGGCTTTAGGATTGTTTTGCACAAAGTTGAAGTCACCACTGCAGCGCTCCTTGCAGCGCTCAATGGTGCCGCCAAGATATGCCACTGACCATAGACTTAGTCGCGCATGTCTGTCATCTTGTGCCTCGGCTGGAGCAGCCAGGTCTTGCATCAGCGTGTCTTCGTGCCTGCCGTCTTCTTGTACTGTGGTAGTCTTCACCTTGGCATCCACACTCTTGTTCTGGAGAAGTCGGCGAAAAGTCTCGCGGACGCATTGGTCTGCTACAGATGCGAACACCTCCGCAATGGATGTGAGACCGCTTTTGCGCGTCTGACTGTAATTACAGTTGAGAATCCACAAGGCGACCGGTGAGAGCCCGCCCCAAATTCGAAGCAAAGCTCCGTTCGAGGCTACTACGACACCAACCAGCGCGTAGAGAAAGATTGGCAGAGCTGGGTGGCTTTTACGAACAGACTGCAGATGAATAGCAGCGTGTCCACGTTCACCCAAGATCCGCTTTCCACTAGCAGTCCACTCCTTCTGCACATAGGTGTAGACGTTCTTCATCGTGGAAATGTACTGCTTAGGAGGGCTCGACATGATGGCGAGACACAGCCGGACTCAGCACCAAAGCTGTAATCAACAGATCAAAACCCTGGAAACTTGGGCCGTGCGCTTTCATGAAGACTCAGACACTATCGCTGGCCGTGCGCTTTCATGAGTTTGACCCAGACGCACAATGCCGGAACACTCTCTGCTTTGGGCACCGCCCCGCCTCAAAGCAGCTCGCAGCTGTTTATTTTTTTTTCACTCGTGGTGAGAGTGCCGTTCTTCACACCCCCCCCGTGTGTATGCGTCAGTGTTTGTTTTAGGGTTTAGGGTTAGGGCAACGAAACTGACGAGCCGGCCACTGCATCTGAGGTCGGAACCTGAGCAGAAATTAAAATATTATATCTGTACATATTTATTACATATTTATGTTGTTTATATATTATAAAATATATATTCTATTAATTAATTATATAGGGTTTAGGGTTTAGGGTTTAGGGTTTAGGGTTTAGGGTTTAGGGTTTAGGGTTTAGGGTTTAGGGTTCAGGGTTTAGGGTTTAGGGTTTCAATATATATATATATATATATTGTATTATACAAAATATTTATATGATATGTATTTTTCGATATATTATATAAATACGTTGTGTCTAATTTTTACATGTTATATTATATACATTATATATATATAATACATATACATATATATTATTAAATTATATTATATATATAATATATATATTCTTATTATAAATAATAATATATGTATATAATGATAATAATAATAATAATAATATACACATACTAATCTATTTTTATATATATACACATATTGGTATTGTTATTATTCTTATGAATAAAAATAGATGTATATATAATTAATAATAATAATAATAATAGATAATAGTCATATTTATATATACATGTATTAGTATTATTAATGAATAAATATATGTATATATATAATAATAATAATAATAATAAAAAAAATAATTATATAATATATTATAATAATATATTTATATATACATATATTAGTATTATTATTATGAAAAATAACATATATTAGTAATATAATAATAATAATAATAATAATAATGATAATAATAATAATAATATATATATATATATATATATTAATATATATATATATATTATTATTATCATTATTATTATTATATATAATATTTTTCTATATAATATAGATATATATATAGTATTATTAAACATTACTACGATGTGGTAACAGGGCCTTCTTATACAAGTAACTGAAATGCTAATGTTCCTGATATTGCAGACCTGACAGACTATTTAAACTCTTCCGAGGCGTTTCAAAATCTTCACACTTTTCAGGCAGCCCAGACTTTTCAGACTTTTCAGACTTTTCAGACTTTTCAGACATTTCAGACTTTTCAGACTTTTCAGACTTTTCAGACTTTTCAGACTTTTCAGACTTTTCAGACTTTTCAGACTTTTCAGACTTTTCAGGCTTTTCAGATATTCCAGAATCAAACAGATATCTGACAAAAAAATGAAATGTCTGGAAATGTCTGAAATATCTGAAAAGTCTGAAATGTTTGGAATGTCTGAAACATCTGAAAAGTCTGAAATGTCTGAAATATCTGAAATGTCTGAAAAGTCTGGGATGACTGGAATGTTTGAAAAGCTTGGAATTTCTGGAATATCTGAAAAGTCTGAAAAGTCTGAAAAGTCTGAAAAGTCTGAAAAGTCTGAAAAGTCTGAAAAGTCTGAAAAGTCTGAAAAGTCTGAAAAGTCTGAAATCTGAAAAGTCTGAAAAGTCTGGAATGTTTGAAATATCTGAGAAGTCTGAAATGTCTGGAATGTTTGAAAAGTTTGAGTCTTTTAGGATTCCTGGAAAGTATGGAATCTTGAAAACGTTTGGAATGTCTGAGAAGCTTGGAATGTCTGAAGAGTTTAGAAATTTTGGAATGCATGGAATGTCTGAAAAGTCTGAAAAGTCTGAAAAGTCTGAAAAGTCTGAAAAGTCTGAAAAGTCTGAAAAGTCTGAAAAGTCTGAAAAGTCTGAAAAAAAGTCTGAAAAGTCTGAAAAGTCTGAAAAGTGTGGAATGTCTGAAATATCTGAAAAGTTTGAAATGTTTAGGATATCTTAAAAGTTTGGAAATCTTGGCATGTCTGGAATGTTGGAAACGTCCGGAATATCGGAAACGTTTGGAATGTCTGGAAAGTTTGGAAATTCTGGAATGTCTGGAAAGTCTGGAATGTTTGACACGTCTGGAATGTCTGAAAAGTTGAGAATGTCTGGAACATCTGAAACATCTAAGATGTCTTGAATATATAGAGCGTCTGGAAGGGTTGGTATGCTAGGAATATATTCAAAACGAGCTAAAATATATAGAGCGGCTGGAAGGGTTGGTATGCTAGAAATAAATTCAAAACGAGCTAACATGATAAATTTGAACGAAGGCCTAGTGGATCACAGGAGGCCCTGTTACCATATATATATATATATATATGTGTATGTGTGTGTGTGCGTCTGTGTATGTACACACACATATATATATATATATATATATATACGACAAGTTATACACACATACACATATACATGTATACCGATATACACATATACATACACACAACATTCTGTGTCTATGATATGCATCCATGTCATCCATCAATCTTAGGCTCTTGTTTTAGGGTATGGGGCATTCAGGATCGAGTGTTTAGGGTCCAGGCTCTCGGGAGCTGCAGCAAGTGGTTTCTGAAGGGTTATGATTCGAGGCAGCCTATAAGGGCTGGCTCTTTATGTGCCCCCAGTGCTTCGGGCTCAGGGATTGGTGTGGCCGCGCACTATTGCTTCGGGATTGCCGAGCCTCAATGTTCAATTTTTGTGAAGATGTCTCGCAAAAATGTGTGTGATTGGCCACGCTCACAACCATGGAGTGCTCTGGCTATAGCAGGACAGAAAAGTTTGTGGCCCCAAGAGACAAGCACACAACAAGGCAGCACCGGTTTCTGTGGCCCCAACAACCCCCCTGGAACACCCCGGAAGGGGGGGGGGGGGGGGGGGGGGTTGTATCTGGATCCTGGAAGGTGGGGGCGTGGGGATCTGGAGGCGGGGGGGGGGCGGGTATCTGATCTGGGTGAGGGGTGTTCACCCCTACGGGGGGGGGGGGGGGTTGGGGGGCCACAGAAACCGGCGGTAGTAACGACGAGGGTGCTTCATTGCTGGCGTGACAGCGCCTAACTCCTAACAATAGCATTAGTTCTCTTTATTGGGCACGATAACCTAGCTGTAGACAATTCGGAATTGAAGGCAAGGCAAACCTTTAACCCTAAATGCCCTTAAACCCCCTACCCCTACCACGCCCCCCCTCCCCCCCAACCACCCCGCCCCCCCCCTACACCCTAAACCCGAAACCCGAAAACCCTAAACCCCAAACCAAAAACGCCAAACCCGAAACCCGAAACCCCAAACCCTAAACCCTCAACCCTAAACCCTAAACCCCAAACCCTAAACCCCAAACCCTAAACCCCAAACCCTAAACCCCAAACCCTAAACCCTAAACCCCAAACCCTAAAACCTGAACCCAGAAGCTCCAGGATCATCAGACCATCTCCCAGATTGCCGAAGCCCGCGAAGCTGAGGCACCTTGGGGTTTTGTGGGTTTTGTGGGTTTTAGGGTTTAGGGTTTAGGGTTCAGGGTTTAGGGCTTAGGGTTTAGGGTTTAGGGTTTAGGGTTTAGGGTGGGGTTTGGGGTTTGGGGTTTGGGGTTTGGGGTTCGGGGTTCGAAGGGTGCACCGGAGGAAAAAAGGAGTGGGATGCCCTTTTCTTAGCTTGAACGGGGTTTATCAAGGGAAGCGAACCCCAAACCCTAAACCCTAAACCCTAAACCCCAAACCCTAAACCCTAAACCCTAAACCCCCCCAAAGAAGGCACGACTGGGCATCCGGAACTTATAGGCCTTAGGCTGACTAAACCCTAGACCCTACACGCCAAACCCAAACCCCAAATAGTAACAATAAGAATAAGAATGATGATGCTAATAATTATAGTAGTAATAATAACAATAATAATAATTGTAAGAATAATAGTAGTACTAATCATAATAATGCTGATGGACCCGGAACCCTAGACCTTAAACCCTAAACCCTAAAACCCGGAGGTTCGGGTTTAGGGCTTAGAGTTTTGGGCTGCAGCGCGTCGTAGAATCCCAAGGCACGTATCTACCCCTCTTCAAAACGAGAGGCTCAGCTTTGATGACCATCACGACCGCTGATCCGCAAATTCCAGGCCCCAAACCCTAGACCCCAAGCCCTAAGCCCGAAGCCCTAAGCCCTAAATTCTAAGCCCTAAGCCCTAAGCCCTAAGCCCTAAGCCCTAAGCCCTAAGCCCTAAGCCCTAAGCCCTAAGCCCTAAACCCTAAACCCTAAACCCTAAACCCTACACCCTAAACCCTAAACCCTACCCCGACCTGTTGCTGAGCTTGTTCTTCAACTCCTTGAAGGGCTGACTTCGCGCCTCGCAAACGGGTGACGGCTGGCCGTACGACACGCCCTACTTGGAGGTTCATGGTACTTATTAACCAATTATAGTTGTACTTATGATTGTACTTATAACCAATTATAGTTGCACTTATTAACCAATTCTAATTGCACTTTTAACTGTACTTGTAACCATATTGGGGCACTTAAGGGCTTATGAGTGTCTACCAGTACAGTCATACTTGGTTAGTACGTTCCATGAACCTCCAAGTAGGCCTGACCTCGGATGCCTAGAACCCCGATACCCTGCACCCTAAGCTGCCCTGAAAGCAAAACTCAGGGTTTAGGGTTTAGGGTTCAGAGTTTAGGGTTTAGGGTTTAGGGTTTAGGGTTTAGGGCTCAGGGTTTACGAAGCCCCAAACTCAAAGGTCCTTGACAGCACAGGGGAACCCCTGGGCCCTAGCTACCCCGATGGTGGCCACCACAGCCCTAAACCCTAAGCTTTAAACCCTAGCCATAAACTCTTCGAACCCGAGCCCTAAAGCCTAAACCCTGAACCCTAAACCCTAAACCCTAAACCCTGA